CAGGGGACACGGGTTCGTGCCCTGGTCCGGGAAGATCCCACGTGCCGCGGAGCGGCTGGGCCCGTGAGCCATGGCCGCTGAGCCTGCGCTCCGCAACGGGAGAGGCCACAGCAGTGAGAGGCCCGCGTATCGCAAAAAAAAAGAAAAAACCTATGTTCACTGTGGCACTATTTATAATGTAGAAAAAACTGCAAACAACCTAAATGCCCAACAATAGGTAAATGGTTAAATAAACCATGGTAAACTTATTCACTTACAATGAAATATTATCTTGCCATTAAAAATATTTATGAAAACTGTTTCATGACTTGGGACAGTGTTTCCAATGTAATGTTGAGTGGGGGAGCAATAAACAGCCTACAAATTGTATATATGATTTCTAACCACTTAAAAAATAAGCTCAGACACAAACTGGAAGGATATATTCTCAAATAAGAAACAATGGCTATTTCCAGGTGGTGGGATTAGGGGTGTTTAGAGTTTTCTTTTAGTGTTTTCCACAAAGAACACGCATTATCCTACCATCAGTTTAAACAAAGGCAATTTTTTTCTTTTAATCAAGCTGCACGAAAATCCTCATGCAGTTGGTATAAACAGCTAAAAAGCTTCTAACCTGTCTAAACTTCAAGTAGTTACTTTCCTTGGCATAATACCCTTTGAACACGAAACAACATAGTCAGCACATACCAAAAAGAATGCTCATCTTCAAATTTGGAAACTGAATTAAAATACGAGTATTTTCAATTTTGGTCAGTGTTTATTCTCTAATTATCTGTAGGATTATTTTACAAGAAGAGAAATGGATTTAACTATTTAGAGGCCAAGAACCCAGGAATGGTTTTGCTGAAATAGAATAAGGGACCAAAGTCTGACTAGGGAGGAAGAACAGCTGTTGCTAATCTAACTATTTACCCTTTGACCCTCTATCTGGCCAATAACTGAACAGTATCAATTGTTTTCCTGTATTATGTGCTGTTTACAAGCCCTGAAAGGCATGAAAGGAATTAATAATTTAGCCTAGATAGCCAACAGGCTTTACTGGGGAGCCCCTTGTCTGTGGGACAGAAATCAGAGCAAGTAACTGTCCTGAAATCATAGGTCCCTTTACTGTTCTTGTTTTATAGGCTAATTGGTCCCCAAACATAAATCAATTATTTCTCCTGTTTTAATAAACAATGACTTCTATTCTCTAACTTCCCTTCTATCAAGTCAGTCCTTGTTCTCTTGAGTTTTTTTACAACTACACGGTAAGCACGATGGCTGAGAAAAAAACTTGGGGAGCAGGGCAGACTGGGGTTATTTGGAAACAGAAGCACAGAAAGGTTATGCTGTTTTGAACTTCTCTTGACCTTTGACTGCCCTTGTCCCTTATGCTAATAGGCAGGGTACAGAGATGCTTCTTGTAGAAATGAACTTAGCCTGAACCTGTGCTGTAACATTGGACTCCAAGAAGCCCAGGAATCATAGGAAGGCAGCCCGAGTATGAGTAGCTGCCCATATTCTAAGCATGCTACCCATATGGTCTATCACAAAAAATGTAGGGGGGGCTTCCCTGGTGGCACAGTGGTTGAGAGTCCGCCTGCCGATGCAGGGGACAAGGGTTCGTGGCCCGGTCCAGTAAGATCCCACATGCCGCAGAGCGGCTAAGCCCGTGAGCCATGGCCCCTGAGCCTGTGCGTCCGGAGCCTGTGCTCCACAACAGGAGAGGCCACAACAGTCAGAGGCCCGCGTAC